CAGTTCAAACAGTTGGCTATATTTCATTGGCCAAAACTCAGTGATTGGCATAGCTGTGGGCTACGGTAGGTTTACACCTCGACTTGTTATAATTCATGATGTACAGAGAAACTTTTAGGCCAAGCTTAATATGTAAGGGAGCAGCATTACGCTAACCTTGATTTGACAGTATATATAAGCTCCTGAATGCTAAACCATTTCTTAATAGCCATACAGAGCTGTGAAGGCACATACCTATTCAATATTGTAGCCAGGATTTATTTTGAATATTATTTACTATACCAGACTACTTGCTAACACAAAAAAGAAGACACGCACACATACAACTAAAATCTATCAAACAAAAACACTTAAAAAATATTTATACTAATATATAGGTCAGCAATCTGGGAATGATCCATTTCATAACTTAGATTTAATAATATCTAATGACACTTAATTGTATACAATCTTCCACTTATCGAGAATACACTAAAGAAAAACACATCAATATATGATTCATCATAGAGCATCACCATTGTTTTCAAATATACCAAAATGTATACATTCAAACAAATTTTGACTTTCTCGGCTAGTTACTTTTCAGAAAAATTAATTCCCTTCAGATTCTCTGAAAGTTTCCTTTAAATAGCATTAATGGTATCAGATATTAATACTTTGAGAGCATAATTTTGTGTCTGAAAATAGTTCAAGGTCATCTAAAGCCAAATCTGGGTCATAATTCTGGATACAATCAAAGCAAAACTAAAAGTAGTAAGACTTTTTTTTTCCTGTGGGAATAATGAGGTAGCATTTATTGAGTATCCATGAAATATCGAGAAATGTTTAGTGTTTAATTATTCCTGTCATCATTATTTCCCACCTTACAGATGAGGAAACAGCTGCTTACAGAAGTCTCATAACTTAATGTCACATGTCAAGCACATTTTAGAATAAGAATTCATACACAGAAATTTCTAGCTAGTTTAAATCTAGGACACTGTGGTTAATTCTCAATGAAACACTTGTTTATAATTATTTTTACTTTTAAAATTTCTACAATAAAAATGCATATGATGTTAATCATGATTCAGATCAATATTTATTGTGCATTTTATGATTTTGTTTTAGGAAAGAAAACAATCTCTGAACCCAATTATTCCTTCAGACATATCTTGATTATTTTTTATATAGAATGCCAATAAAATACTACAATGAAAATAAGTCTTCAAATCATTATTTATTAAACTATTTTGTAACATTTTCATAAATTTTACACAAATACTTGAATTTTAATTGAAAAGTAAATATGCACTTGCATAAATTTGAAACGTAGAAAAAGTATGAACCATAATTTGAATCCATGAGTTTTACTATGTTTACAAAAGACTAACAAAATTTGACATAAAATAATATTTGTTCAGGTCTGGAACACAAACACTGATTCTAATGTATTTGCTTGTGAAGTTGGAATACAACTTTAAAATATGACTTAGAATGGCTATCTCACATGCAATTCAGTAAGACAAAGGCTCATGTAAATATCATGTACCATTCAACACTATCAATTAAGTATGTAAACCTAAGATAAAGCTGTTCAGGTGGCATACCAGACTAAGTGGAATTATTGCAGACAGTTTGTATCAATTAAGAAAGTTCAAGCAGTTATTTAAATACTTGAGGCTATTCATTAGTCCTTAAAGCTCAAAGAAATCACCAAAGTGTAATTATATCCAGCCTGGTGATTGGCACTTAAGTTTATGGGAGGTTAAAAAAGCCCCACAGGTCATGATTGAACAAATAGCTCCAGATCACAGCACCAGTGATATCGCAGAAGAACACAATGACAGGGGAGAGATCTTGGTACTGAAGAAAATGCAGTGTCCAAAAAATGAGGAGTTTGAAATTACTATTATTTGAGAAACATTCCAGTGAATTAGCATGAAATATATCATTATGAATAATTCAGTTCATCTCTAGCACCATATGCAAAAACTACATGCAATTTAAAAAAAATGTAAGGTGCTATAAATCCTAAATTCAATCACAGAAGCAATGTTAACAACTGCATTCCCTCTTGGAGGTTTCCTTTCTCTGTCTTAACCAATTTAATCATGCTCCTAAATACTACCTCCTGGCAGGCAATTAAGACTCTAAGTATTCAGAATATACATAAGTGTACCCATTTCTTTTGAAAAAAGGGAAAAAAATAAAAAATTACTTAGCTATAATTCATACTCTCCACGAGTCATAATTACAATTACTTTAAACCTTTTGAACTCAAGCTTTTTCCTGGTACATAGAAAACATTTTATGCAGGAAGTTTAAAGTCATTCAGTGTCCTTGCAAATAGGCAAATATATTTCCAATTCTTAAAATCTAATGCATATCTAAAAATATCAGCTTTACATTTCTAGATAGGTAGAAAATCGTGAATAGAGACAGTTATAATAATGACCCAGAAGAATAACAAAGAAAAGAAAAAAAAAAAAAAAACTCTTCAATAGGTCTTTAAAAATTGTCTCTTCACTTAAAGACAAAACATTAAGTTCTCACCCACATAATCGGGAGCTGCTCTGGTTAACATTCCTTTCACACAAAAATTATATGGTTTTCCAATGTTCAAAGATTAACAAAGAGTACTTACTAAATCTATGCTGAAAACAATTTAACTATGAATGATTCAGAATTCTCTTCAGAATTGCTTTCCTGTCCCAAGTATCATCATTACACACGTATACCAGTTATCACTGAACAATCTTATATGTACAGAATGCATCAGAAATGAACCTTTCCTGTACATACTTTAAAATATATGTGAGTGCTGGGTATAAAGCTTAAAGTAAAGAAATCAACAGATTTCTGCACTCCCATGTTTATTGCAGTGCTATTCACAACAGCCAAGGTATGGAAACAACCTAAGTATTCATCAATGGGCAAATGGATAAAGAAGATGTGGGACATATACACAATGGAATGTTATTCAGTCATAAAAAGGAATGAAATCCTGTCATTTGCAACCTAGATAGAACTGGAGGACATTATGTTAAGTGAAATTAGCCATGTCATGCCTGTAATCTTAGCACTTTGGGAGGCCGAGGTGGACGGATTGCCCTAGTTCAGTAGTTTGAGACCAGCCTGGAAAACATGGTGAAACCCTGTCTCTGTTAAAAAATACAAAAAATTAGCTGGGCGTGGTGGCGTGTGCCTGTAGTCTAACTACTCAGGAGGCTGAGGTAGGAGAATTCCTTGAACCTGGGAGGCAGAGGTTGCAGTGAGGTGAGATTACACCACTGCACTCCAGCCTGGATGACAGAGCGAGACTTAGTCTACACACACGTACACACACACACACACACACACACACACACA